GTTTTCGATTTCATTTAATTTCATTTACTGTCAAGTTTTGCCAAAGGTTCTGACATTTATTGACATGTTTTGGAATTTTGTCTTTCTAACATTCATGAGAAAGGTCAGAGAGCAACAATATTCTAGAACAAGATATAGAGTTTTGTGTTGGGATAAGGGGTTGATGAGTTAGCCGTAATAATGACATGGAAGCTAACTAAGATACCTCTTTAGAGGAGATGAGGAGGGTCCTTTTAGCTTATACCCATTTCACATGCGAGAGGCTACACGTCATAGACTGTCTCCTTTTGTCCAACAAAGATGGTCTGCTTTGAGTTCTCTAGCAAAGTCTGAAAGTGTAACTTTTCTAGCCTAGCCAAGAGAGTTGGGTAGCAATGATAGAGTTTCAAGAGCCAAGAACAATTACACAACTACCAAAAATAATGAAAAGGAGATGTAAATTATGGTAGGAGTAACAAGGATAAAAAATATATAAAAAATAAATGTTACAACTTGAGAAGCACATTTATGTAAAATATATTGTAGAATAATAGAAAACACAGTAGATGTATCCTCTACTGTCCTCGACAAATACTTTCACTCTAAAATGACTAACCCTCATGTTGTGGTTAAAAACACAATAATCTTTTTCAAGCTTCCACAAAACAAAGAGGAACAAACTTGAAAGTAGTGATGGAAGAAGGAAGGATGATTATTGTGGGGGGCCTTTGAATGGAGGACTTGATCTCATGTCTTGATGCCAACTCTTTTGGTTGATCCCTTGAAGCTCAAGAAAGACAACCCAAAATCTTAAACTATAGCATGAAGTGCCTCAGGCATGACATACTGCAAGTTTGGAGTGTATTTTTGTATAGTTAGAAGTGTAGAAAATATGAGGAATATGGGGACCTCTGGGGAATTTTGTATGTGTGTCGAGAGGTTGAAGATTTCTTAAGAGTAAAAAAATGGGTCTAGTGTGTGGAATCTAGAAAGTTTTCTCTAATCTCCCAAAATCTACCAAAAAATGAAGGAAAAGTGAATATATATATATATATATGTAGTGGCATTTTAGTAATTTTGAGTTGGTGAGCCAGAGTAGGCCAGTAATCCAATGGGTAGATTTAGGTTATGTGAGGACAAGTGTCAAGTTTTAAGTGGATTAGAGCATTTTTGACAACTTTATAAATGCAATAATAGATTGTCCAACATCTCCAACGAAAGTCTACTAGTTTGCTAGAGACTCACTATTCTTGGTAACCCTCTATCTGTATGAAATACCATATTTGGTGGGCAATTAAGTACTATTGGCAAACCATATCCATCCAAGATTTTTATGATTTTCCCAAGCAAAATATATATTTTTTACCAGTTTCCCATGCAATGAAACTTGTTTAGCCGTCTATGCATTAAACACAACTATAGATTGGTAATGGAGACTCCAATGGCATTTTTAGTTGATTTTTTAATGGGGTTCCAAATCTCTACTTAGCATCAAATGGTGTAGTTTGGGATCAAATTTTGCTTCCACATGTTTGCCACCCAGCCTTTCCTAGCAAAGATGAGCAACATTGCCAACTCCAAACTTGGCTGGTGCAAAAATCTTATTTTGCTAGATGGGCAACGTTCATCCATCTATGCTTACCAAGTCATTACTTCCATAATTTATCCTGAATAATCCCTATGAGCTTGGATTCATAAGTTTGTGTTTATTTGCATCAAAAAGCAAATACCAAGGAGTATTTATTCAAATATATAAATATGAAATGCATAAACATGTGCAGTAAAGAAAAGCACTCATTTATGTATCAAAGGGGATGTTGAGAATAATCATTGCTATGCCTTTTTATCCACTAGCCATAAGGGCACTTGTATAGTATTGTTGTGTATGTTTGGCAATGCACCAGGATACATAATGAATAACATAGATGTGTGTGCAGTATCATTTTATCAAACCAAGCACCGTTGGTTGATGATACCTACCAACACATAAAATATAGAAGTATGTTGTAAGTTGGGAATATCGTTGATCAATAATTTGTTCTTTTGTATAGAAGGACTAATGATGTGCATGACTGTTAGCCATGTTGTATAAATATCATAGGGTTAGCCATAAATAGCTTTCTCATAGTTAGAAGGACAATAGTAGCTAGCTTTGTCTATGGCTAGAGTGTGAACTATGTGGAATTGGAGGAGCATTCCTAACAATCCACCAAGTCTGGAAAGGAAAGAATCGCATCAATCTAGAATCCCAACATAGCGATGAAAATATGATAAAAATGGGTTAAGTGTTTTTCATGGAAAAGGGTTAATCGGCCACATCCATGGCCTACCATATAGACAAGGTGTGGTACCACAATAAAATGATGACATTATTGTCATACCAACACCGTCAGAGGATGGTCTTGGTTGTTTTTACCTACTAGGCACCACATTCTCATGCATGGGCAACTACCAATGAATTGTTGACCACAACTTAATGGATTTTTATCGTTGGAGGGTAACCAACTCAACCAATCATAAGGTTGCAATTGTTACTGACTTCACATTAATCGTACCGAGTTGCATTGACTCTTTGTCCATTTTCAAGAGCTAGTAAAATAAAATATGTAGAGATACAACCCTTTATACATTTTTTGGGAGCTAGTGTAGTGAAGATGTGTAGAAATGTGTAACCTTTTGCTCGTTTCTCAAGGCTAAGTAAAATAACAAGTTTGGTCCTTTGTCCATTGCTAGGAGCTTTGTAGATGTAGTTGAATTAGCCTATTGTCCATTGATGGACACCAGTAATAGAGATTTATAGAGTAAATGTTTGGCCCTTTGTTTATGACTAGGAGCTATGTAAATGTGATAAATTTAATTTCTTGTCCTTTGATGGGAGCCATGTATATATAGCAAGATAAGTTTTTTATTGGCAAAATACCCAAATCCACCCCCCAACTATAGTGGCAGGGACGGATTCACCCCTGAACAAAAAACGGGGACAAATCCACCCATAAAGTTTTCAACTTGGACAAATAGTCCATTATTTGATGGGCCATGTCAGCTACTATCATCTTCCCATTAATGGAGTGCTTACTTAGACATTTTAAACATGGTGAAGGTTTTTTTGCCTGTGCAGATGCTGAACTAGCCCATTCCCACCCATTTTAATCCTACGTGGCGATTTTTCTCCCCTTTCCATTACACGTCAACTGGGCCCCACTTATAAAATTTCATAAAACCCTTAAACAGCTAAAACCTAATTTTATCTATTTGATTGAAGATTAAAAATGGAAACGAAAAGCCTTATAAGCCTGTAAACCTGTAAACCCTATAAACGAAAACCAATCCCACGATTCTCCAATCTTAACTCTTTGCGACAATACTTCAACTCTCTGCAGCAATACTTGGAGAATCTCTTGATCGATAGTTGGAGGGGATATGACATTGCTTGGCGAATCTCAAGACTGAAATTGAAACAAGAAATTGAGTTAGCAGGATAAAGGGGTTTGTTGATAAGGACAAAGGGATAATGAGTATTGCTTTTGGTCTTTTGGTGTCTTTTTTCTATATAGAAAGTTATGGGTGGGTTAGGGGTTTTATAAAGTGCTTACATTTTGTAGGTTTGACTGTGGGTTTGGGATAGGTAGTATATTAATGTTGATGTTAATCTATGGGTCACTCAAAAAGGTAATGCTTTTTTTTTTTTTTTTTTTTGTTATTGAACAGCATGGCGGATGAATTCTGGGAAGTGTTGTGTCTTTTCTATGGTGGGACATTTGTTCCAAGACCACCAATTGAGTATAAAGCTGCTCAATGTACAACATTACCCTTTGACTGTGATAGATTAAATGTTGGTGTGATCATAGATACAATTGTTAGTTTTAGCTATGACGATGTTATGATTAGGAATGTGTATTACACAACAATTGGAGGAAGTTTTATGAAATTGAAGTGTTTGGCTGGTGATGACAGTATTAGGGACATTTTGCACATGGTGCGTGCTGAGGGTTGTGTTGATATATATGTTGATCATGAGGTCAACTTTGCCCCAACTTGCTTTTCCACAATTATGTTGGGTTGATAACAAAATAGTTGAGGAGGGAGGTAGACATGAAGAAAGGCTAGATGAGGGTATTGATGGTGAGGTTAGTGGGGGAGTAGATGAAGGTGACTTGGGTAACATAACCCAAGAGTACCCTATTGACAATAAGGGTAATACTGGGAATACAGTTGAGAAAGGTGAATGTAGTAAAGGTAATAGAGGTAATTGTGGAGAATTAGAGTTTGGGTCAACTGATGGTTATATTGATGACTAGAGCTCGACAGATGATGAAGTAGAACCTCTTTGTAGTAGTGATAGAGATGATGATGAGTTAATTGATGTGAAGAAATGTGTAAGGTCTATTAGGAGAGCAATAGAAGGGTTAGAAGTTCCCAGTGGGCTGCAAACACCAAAAGGGGTCAAGTACAAGCATGTTGCAAAGAAGCCAACCCATAGATCTACTCTTATAAAAAAAGCCAACCCCTAGATCTACCCCTATAAAGAAGCTAGCCACTAGATCTGCTCCAGTCTCTAGGGGTAAGAAGGTTGCATCATCAGATCCTGCTGAGCTGAGTAGGTTAAGGAAAGAGAAGGCAAAGCTTGCAGAAAAAAGGGCTTAATTCAATTTTTAGTCTATTAACTATCACATTGATTTCATTTTAGTCTAGAAACTATGTTTTATTT